GAGCGCAAATCTCTCAAACGCCAGCTTATCAAGTGTCTGAAGAATGACCGCGAGACATGGTGGATGGGAAAGTGTAGAGAGATGGAGAAGGCCTTGGCTATTGATAATAGTCGCAATCTTTTCCATCTAATTAGGAATGCGAGCCCCAGGAAAATAGTCATAAGTGAGGTAATTAACGAATCCGATCGCACTGATTCACGATCAGCATCGCCGTCTTGATCGATGGGCTGAACTTTTCGAAGCTCACTTCAACTGGCCCCATCGACATCTGAACTATCACCCTCCACCGCGACTAAGCAAATTCTGCCAGTCGATGCCAGCCTCCATCTGGAATGGAGGTTTCCCGGGAAATAAGCTGTCTCAAAAGGCATAAGGCTTCCAGCCTAGATTGGCTGTCCCCATCCTTTTTTGAGGATGGGGGTTTAGCCTTGGTTTGGATTTAACGAAAATCCTAGGCTCAATGTGTGAGAGGGAACAGGTTCCAACTGAATGGTGTCAATCGGTCATCATACCGATTTACAAGAAAGGTGACAGATCCTCTTGTGAAAACCACAGAGGAATTAGTTTAATCAACATCGTCTCTAAAATTCTCGTTGGCGTCATACTCCGTCGATTGTCTGCCACGCGTGAAGAGTTCACGCGAGAGAACCAGGCTGGTTTCATACGTGGTCGAAGTTGTATCGACCACATCTTCACTCTTCGCCAATCTCTGGAGCACCGACATTCTTTTGATAGACGCACCATCTCTATCTTCCTGGATCTGGAAGCGGTTTTTGACTCATCATCATCATCATCATGGTACAGCGAAATACAGTGAAGCAAACTTCATTGATCGCTGCCGAATTCACAATGCATATAAGATTAGTGGAAAAATTTAAGATGGACGCTGCCTTTCTCTGAAAGGTGTGTTCGAAAAGCTAATTACACTCCAGTTAAAAAAATAACCGAAGTCGAGTTCGAGCTTACGGCACTCTTTCGCCCGAGTTCACCACGGAAAGGGTTACCCTCTCTCCCCTTTGCTATTCAACTTTGTTATAGACCTGAGTATGGAAACAGCCCTGTCCTCGTGCGAGGATAGTGGCATCGATTTGCTCCCAGGTAGCATGCTGTCTGGTCTAGAGTATGCGGACGACATTGTGCTACTAAGTGAAGACCCGGTAAGTTATAAGCTTTTCTGGAAAGTTTTAGTGCTAGTGTAGCCATGTTCGGTATGCGTTTTATACTTTCAAAGTGTAAAGACTGGGTTGGTCCAGCACCCAAACTCACTCTAACTGGGGAGATAATTGAGCAGGTGGATAAGTTTTGATATTTGGGCAGCTACATCTCACCCGGTGGACACATCACGGATGAAGTGTCAGCTAGCAAACAGAAGACTCGATTGGTATTTGCCAACTTGAGACATCTGCTGCACCGTGGCGACATCCGGCTGTCTGTTAAGGATCGAGTGTATGCCGCGGCAGTTCGGCCAGTTCTGATCTATGGAGCAGAAACTTGGCCATTAAGAAAATAGGACAAAGATGGACTGTCGGTGTTTGAACATTGCTATCTATGCAGCATTGCACAAATCTGGTGGGGCAGCCGGACGAGCAGTGCTGAGGTTAAGCCCAAAGATTTAGGCAACCGCGATCACTTACTGGAGCAAGTGGTCGACCTCCAAAGA